AAATTACAGACGTTGGAACTCGACGAGTACCTTATTTCAGTTCACGGCTACCATGGGAGCATCTTTGATAAACATGAGAATCCAACCAACGTCATTCGGTCTCTAACTTTTGAAACCAACCAAAGAACTTTGGGTCCGTTTGGGACTGAAAAGGGTATCAAGTTTTCATTCCCAACCACTGGACTCATCAAGATTGTTGGCTTCCATGGGAGGTGTGGTTGGTACCTCGATTCGATCGGATTCCACTTTGTTCCGATATCAATTTCAGGATAGATTTTGTATTTTGACATTGGCTCGCGCATGCATTCCTTTGGAACTAAAATGTTTTTGATATATCTGGAGATTTCATTTTTTTCTCTCCATGAAATGAAATGAAAGAAGTGTAGAATTATATACTTTCTAGTTAGTTTTGAACAACTAGTTAATTAATTGATTTAGATTTGTGGAATGACATCGGCCAAAGACTACGTTTTGGGTCAGGATTTTAATAGATAACAAGGACCTAATTTTGTTGTCACCTCATTCCGGTATCAAAATATTGAAAAAGTTGCTTGATTATTAATTGGTTTTGAACTTTTAAATATTGAATGTTAACAATCTTTAATGATGACGTTGAAAACTTAATTGTTTTTATATGAATATTTTTTATGATACTCAAAATTGTTCATATGCATCTTAAGATTCTAGGTATTGGAAATATTTTCGAGGGATCAAATTTTAATAGGGCGAAAGAATGGTAAATATTTATTTTAAAAATGTTTCATTGTTAATATTTTGTTTAAATAATTTTCAAATATAATTAGTACTCGTGATTTAATGATCTTAGATAAAATTTTAGAAAGTCGGTAAAAATTGAGGCTCCGTGAACCAATGCTTGATATCTTGAAATAATTAATAATTAGTTTTAATTAATTTTTTTTTGGATATAAAATATTTTATCTTATTCAAATTGAGATAAGATCCAATCACACGGTCGGATTTGGAGGGCTATCCAGCCAGAACTTTTGACTTTTATATGCCAAGAACATGGGAGTGGAGCCCACAAAAGACAATTTTTAATTCTTATGAAGTTATCCTATTTTTAATTAATTATAACGTGAGAATTTAAGTTCCTACAGAGGGAGAAAAATAAATTGAGAAGAAATGACTCTAAACACTGAAAATTTGGAAAATAACTTTAAAAGTTTAAAATTTGTAAAATTAGCCTTAAAAAACTTGATCGACCTAGATTTGCCTACTGGTGGCCATTTTCTCAAATTCATGGTTTCAAACCCTCCGTGCCAACTTAGAGTAGACCTAAGACATATAGGATAGTGCCACGAATTGATTCATTGGTCCTAATTGACCTAAGGTTACATAATATAACGGTTAGAAATAATGACTATTCTAGTCAAACCAAGAATAAAAAAATCATAGCGACAAGGACCAAGGTCACAACGGTGATAATATTCTAGACTGTCATTTAAGTTCTTTAGTATGAGACAAAGAAGAGGTTGAACCATGGGAGGATGTGCCAAAGAAATTGCTTTAGAAGGATGAACAAAAAATAGAAGAACTTGAAGAAGAAGCAGGCCATGGGTAAGATTGGGTCCGGATTCGGTTCGGTAGACCCATTAACGTTGGTGGGATATAAGTGCGGCCCCTTTCGTTGGCCTTGGTTCACGTATGGTCCAAGTCCATACACGCTAGTGACCCGCACATTTGAAGTAATCCACCACCAGATCCAATTCATTAACTCCCCTCTACTCTTGCCACAAGGTCGATCCGTAAACCCGACCCAATCGAATTCTGGCATGCACGTGCCGTTGTTGTTAGCTTAGATTGGATTTGGCTCCGCTCGGCTTCTAATCGGCTTACCGATTCCAGCATTTTTGACCTTTTCGAAGCTGATTTTGACCTTATTCAAGGCGTTTAACCGATTGCTCAATTTAAATTCTTTTGAGTTAGTACTTGGAATTATTTGATTTATTTAGATGTTGACTGGGGTGGTTGTTCCGATACTCGTCGTTCCATCCAACTATTTCATTTATCTTTGTAACAATCTCATTTCTTGGAGTGCCAAAAAGCAAACTACTGTGTCACGCTCCAACTGTGAATCTAAGTATCGTGTTCTTGCCATCACTACTGCTGAACTTTTTTGTCTTGCGCATCTTTTGCATGATCTCATGGTCTCTATCTCAAAGCAACCATTACTCTTATGTGACATCAAAATGCTATTTTTTTGTAGGTATAATTCTGTTTCTCACAAGTAGCCATTATTTTTATGTGACAACAAAGTGCTATTTTTTTTTAGCTATAATCCTGTTTCTCACAAGTAGGTTAAACATATTGAATTAGATTATCAGTTCCTTTGGAAACTTGTTATCGCTGGCAAACTTCGCACACAGTATGTACCTTTCCATCTCTTGTTGACATTTTTACAAAAAGTGTTTCTCAACCTCTCTTTAAATTTTTCATATCCAGACTTCAAATTCATTCAAATCTGACACTCAACTTGCGAGTTTAAGGATATTTAGCCTTTAATTATGGTTTACCATATATATCATATTTGACCCTTTATTATACGAAACTATATTGTATGATTGAAGATATTTAGCCTTCCATTACGGTTTACTCTAGGTACCATATTTAATCTTTTATTATACGCAAACATCTAGATATTTTCTTTCCATTACGACTTAGCATAGGTATCATATTACTATTTTATTATAGAGGAAAATATATTGTATCCTCTCTCCATGTATTGCTCCTTCTCGGGTATCATTCATAATTTATTTGATTCCGTAAAGGATTAAAAATAGAGAACCATCGTCACTATTTAGATGGAGTGTTTTTAACAAATATTATAGTTAGTTCCTTCTCTAATAAATGCCTTTATCTATGCATGATTTGAAGCTTCTATAATGGACTCAATAATCAAACTTAATCAAACCCAAGATTTGAACTTCATAGAAAGTCACATTAGTTATTGATCTCCATTTTTTTAATAAATTAAATTGTTTAACAAAAACACGAAACGCACTAAATTTGTTCATTTGTTTGAAAGAAAATGGGCTATATATGTCCTTAAGTATTACATAAACATCGAACATTCCATAAGTTAGCCCAATACATATGTTTATAAAATAGATATACATTCAAAATTACATGAATTAAATTAAAAATAGAATCTTTAACTAGATTTGATTATTATAAACCATCATTCGTACAATAGAATGTCAATCAACTTTGCATGAGTTTTAAAAGTAAAAAAAATGAATTGAATATAAAAACTGAGCCTTTATGAATAAAGATTATAACTTTATATAGTAAGGTTTTTTTTTATGTTGATAATATCATCTCAACGTACTCATTGATCATGTTTTTTATTTTATTCTTATTTATCGTGTTGGTTTATGGTGAAGTCACTCTCATTCCCATTGGAACCCATCATGGTGATACCCACAAACAAATTCATTATTTTTGCCCAAAAGGAATAAATCATCATTGCTCCATTGACAATTAGTTTCTCAGTCAAAATAAATATCAAATCTCTCCTAATTTACCCACCATCCAAAATAAAAACTAATTGACCCTTTACTATCAGAATAAGACATCGAGTTGTATATATATTTAAAATAAGAAACATTTTTGCTATAAAAATGAACACATATCACATAGCATTAATGAGAGGTACTATATATAGGACTCTATTGGGTTCTTACTGAAAAGATAATTCACTTCCCTTCTTTAGAATTATTATTCAGGAGAGAAATAATATACGAATATACCTAAACAAATAAATAGAGTAGAAAAAATAATTTGAAAGAAGATTTTTTTATAACAGAAGAACTTGAAGCACTATTATGACTAGAAATAGAACTTACCAAAGAAATTTTAAAAATTAAGTATAAAAATGACTGATATGATGAGATTTTGAGATGTAGGTTGATTTTTATGCTTTTCGGAGTTGAGAAGGAAATATGCATGATAAGAAATAGGGCAATTTGGTCAAGCAGATATGAATAATTACTAAAATGACCCTAGGTTTGAGATTTTGAGAAGTATGCTATTTTATTTGCTTTCGATTGTACTTGAATAGAGGATGGGATATTGTAACCTGTGCTTTGGGCGATTGATGGATGTTATTTTCCCGTTGAACTTATATATTTAAATGATATAGTATGTTTAGCTTCAGGTGATTGATCATGTATTCTCCCTATAGAGTGTGTCTATCTACATAAAACTATAATTACGATGCTAGAATTAGGCTTGTTAGATAATGACCTAGGTTAGGACACCTCTAGAAGACTGAGCATCTTAGGATCATGAGTGGTAGTTAAAGGATCTAGATCCTAGTGCTCCAAAACTAAGAAAGACTCGAGGAGTCAAACAAAATACCCTAAATTTCAAAGTCCACGATAAGTCACCTAGCCACGTTTGGAATGCAATTGACTTCTTTAGCCCCTAGAGGTGATCAAAGTGATTATTAGAATTTATTTAGATGATAATAAGAATATCTCTCTAAAAAAGTATACATGAGCAAACCAAGTTAAAATTAGGGCTTACAGTTAAAGTAGTTTACACATTGACCTAGATCAATATATTTCAAATAGACCGTGCATCCGAGGATTGTGAGTAGTAATCAAAGGTCTAGACCTATATGCACTTAGAGAATGGAATAGCTTAAGGACCTAGTCCTAAATGTCTTGGAAATGAGATACATGATTTAAACCTTCTAGACACCCCTAAGAACCTAGTAGACCTCCACAAAATCAAAGAATGATCGAGGAAGCTCTCCAAGCGAACAGTATGTAGTGATCAAAGTTTTCGTTACCCTCTTAACTCTAGTAATTGCATTATTGATCTAGACTAGATTTGTTAGAGAAGTGTGTCGAGATGACTAGGTGCCTCAACCTAGCGGAAATGGTCAGAAGTATCCTAAAGAGGATCTTTGTGTTGTAAATCCATTCCTTAGAGGGGAACATGGGACCACTAAGTTATTTAGTAGCTGGTTTGTAATGCCCCTAATTTTCTCTACCCTAATTAGCGACGTTACCTTATACTCGTCAAATCAACAGGACAAGAGTTCACATGGAACAGTCTCAATAACGAAAATGCATTCATCAATTTAAGCCGTTCATACCTAGGAAAACAATTGCGACAACCTAGCCTAGAAGTAATCAACAGAGACTAGAGAAAACAATTCGCAAAACTAAGAACCCAAGAGATTCCAACAGGCGCTACGACACAACAAACCCTCCTCAAGATTTCCATGGCCCTTCGCCTCATCCACCGTCACCCGTACATGGGAGCCTTGCCCTTTCCTGAAAAATATTGGTAGCATGTGGCTTGAGTATCATATAAAATACCCAGTAAGTCGCCCCACTGTTGGGGTTAAGCATATATTCATACATTCGGATACAAGCAGTCGCACACAATACATCTACATGTCGCACACGATACACATACATGACGCATGCAACACACATACATGTCACACAGGATACCCATACATGTCGCACATCGTTACCGTACATGCCGCACAATGTTAGAAGAACGAAACTGAGAGAGAGGTTTGTCTTCCATTCCTTCCCATGGCCTTAGGCCCTTGCCTTGTCCGCGCGGGGGTGGATGCATGGTAATTTCCAACACATGGCCCACGTGTGTGACTGTGGGCCCACTAGGCAAGCTCGCAAGCGAACTCCCTAGGCCTGGCTTGGTCGGGTATGTATGACATACAATACTGGACGCCACGGACAAAGGAGGGCCTGCATGATATCGTGGCGAACACAATATCGAATATACGTATCCATACCATCAGTAGCATAACGGGGGAGTGCCCCAAGTACATAACCATAGCGTGCATGAGGTTCTTAAGGTTTACCTCCATGGCATTACACCTACGACGCTCCATCCCCTCGCCGCATTACATAGCATAACCGGGTTCACAGTAGGCAAGCATAACATAGCATAACCGGGTCCACATTGAGCAAGCATATCCTAGCATACTAGTCATCTTATTCATGGCATGTGGGGTTCTCATTACAATCATGACATGTCAATCAAGCTCATCATACATACAGGGCAACAAAACGCGTCACAACATCATATTCATAAACATGGCATACATAGCAATTCACTGCAAGAATCACATACATAAACAAAGCATGCATATAGCATTTCACGGCAAGAAACATCTAACCTAGCATACAGCAACAACATATGGTGCATGCAAGGGCCACAGGGCACGCACCAACATACATACATAACTAACGCCAACAGTAAGGTTACTTACCTCCTTGGCCTTGGCCGAAGTCACCCACAATGCTGACTCCAGCGCCTAACTACCTCCTATAAGATAACATGATACACTTAGAGCCCTTTCACAACTAGCTCTTATGCCTAGCTACCAAGGTACGTCCCTATCACAATCTATTTTATCACAATGGAGTTATACTGACCTCAGATGGCTGAAACAAGGGTGGGAATGGCTCCAGAAGGGTTAAAAACCTAAAAATCGGGATGCTATTCGGATGTCGAGCCGCCGAGCTGCGCTGCCAAGCTGTCGAGCCGCACAGCCGAGCCGACCTAGTCGAGCCGCTGGTGGAGCCGAACCGACGGCCTGCGAAGAACCCTAACGGCGCAGGGTTTCTGGGCGCACCTCTGGTTTGGGCCGAAAAGGAATGAAGCCCCATGGTGGTGTCTGAGCGCGGCCTGCGAGGTGTGGGCTGCACGCCAGCCGAGACGACCCGCGGAATGCCGAGGGTCGACCCGCGCCCACCACTTCGTCTTCCCCACCCGAATGCCTCAATAGCCCTATCACGGGCTTGGCTGCTGTCACCTGTGGAAGTGTCGTCGTTCGTCCATCTCCGGTGACGCGTCTGTCCTCCCTTGCCCGCCATACACTAGCGCCTGCTCCTACCTAAAGCTCGCGGCGTTATTGAACCCGATCTGAAGTCTCGCGACGTTTTCGATCTCACCTAAACCCTTCGGCTCCTCCCTCACAGGTATGACAGTCACTCAAAAAGGAAAGGGCGGCTACTAAGGTAGCTAGGGTTTAATACGCATTAATACGCCTTGGCTGGCAAGGCTTGCCTCACCGGAAATCCCATGATTTGTGATTTCCGGCAAGATTTAAGGAGTTCCCCCTCTCTCTCTTTTTTTTTTTTTTTTTTTTTTTTTTTTTTTTTTTTTTTTTTTTTTTTTTTTT